TTTTGCCTAGCTTCTCTGACACGAATTGACAAGACATGCCATCACTGCACCCATAACTGCTTATCATGAAAAGCATTACAATAGGGCTACTGTGGTTTTGACGCTTTGAGTGACTTTTTAACGTCGCAAATAGAAGGGCATGCACAAACTGGGATGCACCAGAGACCAATGTATCTAAAGGACTATATGGATTTTTTCCCCTATTTTACATTTGCTGTACTCGCTCGCTGCAGCCCACACCATTAATTATTACTATTTAAATGGTGGTACACTATGTTCAGGATTTATTAATATACTGATATAATAGTTGGGTGTGAATTAAAGAATGTGTGTATATATATATATATTTAATATATACCAATACATTTGGATGACAGTAAAAGTGATATGACAATGAGAAAGAATTTTAACTGCAATTGCTAGTACTTTTATTCAATGATATTATAATCATTCAATATAATGCATTAACTGTGCAATGTTAATGCGGCAATCTGCACAAGAAAATTCCAGTTCGTAACCTAATGTCATATCCTTTTGATCCTGGTCAAGTTAGATTACTTCCCTATGCCTGAGGCAACATAAATTGGATTACAACTTGTGCAGTGACGCATTATGCCAATAAAATCCTGAACAGAAAGGCTGATTATATATCAAGGTAATAGAAAAAAAAACATTACAACCTTTAAATGAGATGTAAAGGTTTTATCCCACCCTAAACTTCACATGGCAATGATATAATATAAAGAAGGGTGTGGGCAAGTGTTAGATTCTTAGGGGTTGTACAACAATAAATCCTAAGATGCTTTGCCAGCCTGACAGTTTTTTTGTTACACCTGGGGACCTAACTTTCGGCCAAACTTGATGTAAACCATTAATCACTTTCTTGCAGATGTACTTGGTTGTTGGGAAACTATGTAATGCTTTTTGCAATTTTGTTTTTTGTTTTTCCGCAAGTAGGAAATAAAATAAAGAGACACATTCTAGTCTTATAAAGGAAAAGGTGAAATGTGTCCATTTTCTCAAGTGTATACCCCTATCACAAGCATATCATTTTGTTTTGATGTTGATAAAGAAGCACCTCTGTTTTTATTCTGCCCCTTTGTTGATGTATACTTATATCCTGTTATTTGTGCAACAAGGAAACATAAAAGTCGCCAACATTACCAAGAATTATGTCTACAAAGATATATATACATATATATATATATATATATGGGGTTTGCAGAAAAGACCTTTAACAGCTTCAAACCATGAATGACATTTGCATACCTCACGTGTGTCACTCTTTGTGACATACACTTCCTCTCTGAAACAAGTAAATCTGTTGGTAAAGTCATGACAGGCGCACAGTCGGATTTGCCGGCATATGCGCTAACCTTACCCCAACCCCCATTAAAACACGGACACAGGTTATACTGTTGGAAATAATTTGTCCACAGCTTTATTAAATTATTAATAAATAATTAAGGAATAACAAATGGGGTCATTGCCAACAAATCTTAATAATGTTAACCTCCCCCATATACATAACATACCCCTAGCAATGACCCCACAATAATAACAATAGATAACAATATAAATAACATGTTAACACAGAAACTGGCCGTCCAATTTGACCACATTTCCACCAGGTTAAATTGTAGGGGTGTACCGAGACACCGCTACCCACCATATCCATTGTAGGGGTGTACCAAGACACCGCTACCCACCATATCCATTGTAGGGGTGTACCAAGACACCGCTACCCACCAGTTCCAGTGTAGGGTGTACCAAGACACCACCACACCCCCAGGTTCGGAGCCACCGACGGGCTCGAACCTACCAACCACGTGCAACACTGCCCAATCCACACTAAACCTCAGGATGCCCACTTTCTCCTCCATCTACCCTCCGATTTAACCAGGCCATTCCCCGCCGCTGTGAAAAAACGGGAAATCAACTAACCTAACCAAATACAGGGAGGGTGGGAGGGACAACTGACAGGTAAGCTTAGGTTCAGTTAAAATGGCCACTTCACATAATGGCCGGTATAAATACTCCCCTTATGGCTCCGCCCTACCCAGCATGCTAGCTGTCACTAAATTCCTGTGGCTGCTATGCCTACCTCCTGGCTCTGTCAAGGCCTATTCCTCTTAGCTGCGCTGATCCATGGGCTACATACTTGGGCAAAAAGTATTGTATTTACTAGGACGTAATATGGTAAATGCATTCCAAAGCATGAAATGTTCTCTTGCACAGAAAGTGATGCGTTGATTTAAGATGAGAACCAAATTGGGGCCAAGCCTACATGAGGTAACAAAATTATAGTTTATTAGAAGTTATCTTGGGAAACAAGTTTATAGAGCACCAGCTAAGTTCTAAACATGCAGATTACCTGTATTTTGAATGCACTGTCTTTAAGTGTTTGCAGACATTACCAAATAAAGTTAGTTGATAATTGCAAATTGTGGCCTAAAATTTCTATTTTGCTTGCAAGAAGTACTGCAGACAAATATATCTTCACATGTTTTAAATTTGGATGCAGTTTATGTTTAATAGGTGTCCAATTTCCTGTACTTTCCAACACAATTTTAGCCTTTTACATGACAAATTGTTTTAGAAGACTCACAGTTACTCCAAATGAAATGATTAAAATGTCTGATAAAGTAACGTTTCTTAAAAATTTCTCAACATTGTCCACATTTTTAAACTTGAAATTTGAAGATTTACTTTACTGTAAAGATTTGTACCTGATGCCTTTCATCATATAATTTTGTCTTCACTTTGACACTTGGGAGGTTATCAACTAAAATGAAATGCTTAGTGACGCTTAAAAAAATGCCAAATTAATATTTTCTGGCAAATAAATTCTACATTGTGTAAATAAACGTGGTATAATGTGAATACACAGAGTTCTTTACTTCTTACACACCTTAGAAAGATTATCGCTATTTGCCTGTGGCAATTTAATCAGCTCTCTTTCCTTAGATACCTGACAGTTGTAGTTACATTATATTGTTGTGTAGCTATACTCTACATCTACCAATTGAAAGTACCCTTGGCTTAAGAAATACAATTTTTTAACCTGCTAAAGCCTGTTTGTGTATACTATTCCTAATAGATTTTTTTTTTGACAATGCAATTCGTCCTTTGCTTAGTAAATATTGTTCTCAAAGGCAGAAGCCATTTTAATATGCCAACATATTCTACAGGGCTTTACATGGAATTATGGAATGGGGTATTTGACAGCAAGTACTTTACTTACTTGCTGAGGCAAGAGGTGAAGAAGGTCTTGCACAAACAAGCTTAAAGTCTATGAGCTAAAAAGCAGTATAATAAAAAAATTGTTTTATTTTTTTTTTTGGTTTTTGTTTTTAGGAAAGTTTGTCACTGGAAGTTTATCTGTCAAAGTTTTAATATCTCTTTGATTGATCACCTTACACTGCACATGATGTACAGCAAGGCTTGAGTGCAGAGGGAACCCATGGGATTATTTGCAGAGTAAATGGAGTTTCCACACTTCACACTGTAAATGGATGTGGGCCGGTGTGCTCTGTGCCTTTCCTTCTGTGGTCTCTGTCGTCTCCATGGATCTGAGATGGTAGGGGACAAAGAAACTGTGAGAAACAGCTTGCGAGGGACATAGACATTGTGATCTAAGTTTGTTTGGCAAAGGTCCTCTTCATCAACTGTTCCTGAATGTAATACGTGTTTTGCTAGAATTAAATGTTTGTCTTATTTACCTACTTTAAAATCTTTAATAAAGACATACATAGACTATGAGAGACAGATAGAGACATAAAGACACAGTGAAGAACTGCCCTTAAAAACATATACCATCTCACTTATGCATTCACACAGTGGCATTGCGTTCATGAGTAGAGGATAGCATATCTAAGACTGAAAAATTCAATGTTTCACGTAGAAAATTAATAGGGAGTTGTATGGAACTTTATAGAGAGGAACTGGGGATAGTTGGAAATCTTTGATAGAAGCAAATAAATAAATATACCGAATTCACTCGAATCAAAAGCACTATAGAAAATACAACATTGTGCTACAATTAAAATGTTTATTGCCATATACCATAGTAATATTGATGGTAATTCAATCTTCGTGTTACATATTAAGTCTATGCTTTCTTAAGCCCTCTTTCAGGAACAAAATTTGCCAGTGTGAATTCACAGGAATAAAATTTTCCTGTTTGAATTCATCTGTTTTAATTTGCCAGTGTGAATTTGCCGGAATGAAATTTGCCAGAACGCAATTTGCCGGACAATTTAGAACATTGCTCCGAAAGAAATGTGCCATCGATTCTAATGCACAATTACATTTTGGAAACTTTATTATAGGTGCGCATTAGATTTGAGTAAATATGGTATTGAAAGAAATATGGGAAGGTGTGGAAAATGAATGTTTTTAAGATGCTTGGACAAGACATTTCATATCCCCAAATATTTTAATATGTTCATAACATTATGACAGATGGATATCAATGGAAAATACAAATTGTTGTTGATCTTTATTTTTATATATGCGCATTTTTTTTAATAGAAATGTACTTTCATCAAATAAATAATTAGCAAATATTATATTTTGCACATATAATATTTTAATTCATGCACAAAATGAAAAGGAAAAGATCCTATCTGCCACGAATAAGAAACCAATATTTCTAACATATTTTGAAACAGTAAAATAAATAATTGAATACGTAAGAAAAAAGCAAACATTTTGAGTTTCGAAACATGGAAATCTTCATTTTTACCATTTTTTATAAATCCATTATATATTAATATACATTAGTCTAATATTCTTAGATAAGAAGCATTCAGTTACCTGAAATAGCTTGTTTCATAAACGATTTTTTCAAAACATTTCACATGATTCCACTTATAGACTTTCAACATATATACAGTAAAGTTAATTACTGTAGATTATAGATATAATTTTGCAGACAATCATAGAAAAGTAAGAATTGGTTTGGTATAGTAATTCTTTAAAACTTCTAGGAAAATGTGTTCAGCCTTCTGAAAATGTCTAGTGAAGCGTGGCACGTAGGTAAGGCTGTCAATGGTTTGGTTTGTCTACGTTTTGTTTTTTTCAGTTATGTGGGTTCCTGCCATAAATGTCTTGTGATCACTCACATTTCCTCTGGAAGTCCAAACAATGCAGTAACGTGTTATTTTGTGTCAACACATAATATATTACCAATTCTTTCTACAGGGATCCAAGAAATTGACACCTGACATTTAGCTGTATGCAAGTTAATATAAAATGTTTTTTATTTAAAACAAAACATTCACAGCTTATATTTCACTGAATTATTTTAATGGATACAATAACTCCACATGTCGTATATCGTTAGCTACAAGTTTGTATACTCCCGTATTTCAAGCCACTACTGATAGCAAACAAAAACTTTGTTTCTAAACTGTTTCTTTTTACTGTGCCCTAGCCACACCTCCCCTGGATGTGACTGCCTCTATGAAAAAAAAAAAGGTTTAATTTTCAATGAGATCTTACAGCACAGTGTGTTTACAACCAGTCTCAAGCACGCTATTAAAAGACCACTATAGTGCCAGGAAAACTTACTCGTTTTCCTGGCACTATAGTGCCCTGAAGGTACCCCCACCCTCAGGGTCCCCCTCCCGCCGGGCTCTTGGGGGAGGAAGGGGTTAAACTTACCTCTTTCTCCAGCACCGGGCGGGGAGCTCTCCTCATCCTCTCCGCCTCCTCTCCTCCTCTTTGGCTGAATGCGCATGCGCTGCAGGAGCCACGCGCACATGCAGCTAGTCCATAGGAAAGCATTCCCAATGCTTTCCTATGGACGCTGGTGTCTTCTCCCTGTGAAAATCACAGTGAGAAGCACGGAAGCGCCTCTAGTGGCTGTCAATGAGACAGCCACTAGAGGCTGGATTAACCCTAATATAAACATAGCAGTTTCTCTGAAACTGCTATGTTTATAGAAAAAAGGGTTAACCCTAGAGGGACCAGGCACCCAGACCACCTCATTAAGCTGAAGTGGTCTGGGTGCCTATAGTGGTCCTTTAACAGAGCAGGAGGTAAGAAATTCTAACTATGACTCCCTGTACAATAAAGAAAGTTTCAAATTTAGACCTCTTTTTACAGGAAGAGCATAGGTAAGTTGTATGAGTCTCAGATAGGTAGGTGTTGATAGGGCTGCATAAATAAAGGGATCTATCTCCTAAATGGCAGGGCAGTGCATGGGCATGATCTATGCACCAAAAGCACACCATTCAGTTAAAGTTGATTTGGTGCTTAGATTGTCCCTTTAGCCGCTCCACTACTTCACTACTCAACAACACAGGATACCTAGCAAGTCCATAAAATTAAAGCAAAACAGCAATTGTATTTATTGTGTTCTGAAGAATGATAAAGGCATAGAAAGATAAAATTCATTACTTGATCACAAAATCACTCTTTAACAGACTATAAACATGTATTAGCATTCTAACATGCAACAACTTCCTGTATGATGACAAACTATCTCTGAGCAAACTAATGAGACAACTTGCATCCATTAAAATGCAAATATCAGCCTTGCTTTGTGAGAGGCTACGGATGTCTCTCTAAACACTTATCTGAATAGACAATGTATAACATTCTGGTTATGATATACAGACTATCTCTACTACAACTCTATAAAAAGAAATGGTAACCAAGTGAATTCAGTGAAATATTAAAAATAAGATTCATAAATCAAAAACAAGTCTTTCTTAACCCCTTAAGGACTGAGCCAAATGTACACATTTTGATTAAAATAAAACGTAAACAAAACTTGGAATTTGACTATATGTCTGTTCAACCGTAATTCACCTCTTTCATATTAAGTGCATCAACACTAATTTTATATAATTTTATTCAGGAGAAATAGGGCTTTCATTTAACATCAAATATTTAGCTATGAAACATAATTTCATATGAATAAAATATTAAAAAATGTGTAAGAAATTTTATTTTTTTTAGTATGACATTTTAACTGTGCATGTCATAATACTGTTGCTTTTACTGCAATAAAATCCACATATTTGTATTCAGCGATGTCTCACAGTTAAAACAGTACCCCCTATGTACAGGTTTTATGGTGTTTTGGGAAGTTACAGGGTCAAATGTAGCATGTTACATTTTTCAGTTTTTTCACATTGAAATTTGCCAGATTGTTTACGTTGCCTTTGAGACTGTATGGTAGCCCAGGAATGAGAATTACCCCCATGATGGCTTATCATTTAGTAGACAAAATTAATAATTAATAATAGCAATAGTAGACAACCCAAGGTATTGCAAATGGGGTATGTCAAGTCTTTTTAGTAGCCACTTAGTCACAAACACTGGCCAAAGTTAGCATTAATATTTGTGTGTGAAAAATGCAAAAAATTAATTTGAACGCCAATTCATAAAATAAAATATATAAAATATAACAGGACGAACCCACAAATAAGAAATATTTCACATAGTACACCTGAAGTCTTTCTCAGGGCAGGAATAATTGCATAAATACACCTTTACATTCACTATACCTTTTGTTTTATCTAGAATAAATAAATTTATATATATAGAAGCATAGACTGAGACAGAGGATAAGGACCAAATGTCCAGTCTGTCTGCCATTTTGAAATCTCAGACTCATCTTACCTACTCATTCATCAGGATAGACCTAAATATCTAACATTCCAGAATGTCTTTTAGTATGTCAGGCTTCATAGAAACATAGAAACATAGAAACATAGAAACATAGAAACATAGAATGTGACGGCAGATAAGAACCATTCGGCCCATCTAGTCTGCCCAATTTTCTAAATACTTTCATTAGTCCCTAGGCCTTATCTTATAGTTAGGATAGCCTTATGCCTATCCCACGCATGCTTAAACTCCTTTACTGTGTTAACCTCTACCACTTCAGCTGGAAGGCTATTCCATGCATCCACTACCCTCTCAGTAAAGTAATACTTCCTGATATTATTTTTAAACCTTTGTCCCTCTAATTTAAGACTATGTCCTCTTGTTGTGGTAGTTTGTCTTCTTTTAGTTCTGGCTATGTTTGTGGGAAGTATAAATGGAAGGGATGGGAGGACAGAAAATAGCCACAAATAAACATAAATACCATCTTTCCTGATTTACATGATAAAAATTGACAAAAAACGAAAATCCTTGAATAAATCTAGAATTCAGTCACAGAAAGCAAATTCTAAAGACATGGTGACATGGTTCTTTCAGACATTTTAGCAGAATCTGGCACATTTGGAAGTGACCATGACAACTCACTCAGAAAATATTAATGGGATAATTAAGAGCACTTTACGCTTTCACACAGAATCAATATTAAAAAACATTATCGACCAGAATAGGAGGAAAGCTCACTGGAGCAGGTTGCAGCCCAAATCTCGCTCCTGCACATCAAATGACTTGTTGCACTCACTTGTTTTGACATTTTCAACCTTTAAACAGTGCTCGGAGCATGTTGGTGCTATTCTGCTATATAGTTCTAGTGATCAGGACGCACAGTCACCGTGTCACTGCAAAGTACCAGTTACAGAGCATCCCTCGTTCAATAGCACAACCACCACTGACAAAAGGAAATCATTGGAAATTCAAATCGATTATTTTTCCCTTTATTTTTTTTGCAGCTTCAGCACAGGATAAAGTGTTAATTCTCACATTCCACATTCTTCTGGCACCGATAAGAATGTGCTTCAGGAAATTCTTAAATGTAAATCACCAAAAGTAAATCATTTCCTTTTATTTACACATATATACACTATATAAAACACACGTGCAGTGATTTCCAGTAATAAATGTGTCACCAGTGCAATTATCAAATTCAGCTCACAGCCAATTAATCACCAACCAAATACAGCTCACAGCCAATCACCAACCAAATACAGCTCACAGCCAATCACCAACCAAATACAGCCAATCACCAACCAACCAAATACAGCTCTATGTTTCTATGTTTCTATGTTTCTATGTTTCTATGTTTCTATGTTTCTATGTTTTAAACTTGGTAAAATCTTTGTTATCATCACTCTTAAAGAATTTAGGTAAAATGGTGACATCTTTCACTTTACCTTAAGTGTCTGTCTTGAGAATCAGATATGCAAAATGTAGCCAGAGGGAATTTTTAGACCAAAGCTATAATGTAACTCAGAATCTCTTTGTGCTGCACGACAGAGAACCCAGAGACAATAAGGAGTATATATCTGTCTTCATTTTGTGTAGGCTTACCTTTACTTCTAACAGATTTTTATCAGAAAAGATAATACATCTCATGCATTTTTAATTATAAAAATACATACTATTGATTTCTCTGTGCACTTTTTTCTTGCACTAGGAAAGATGCAGATCTTTACAGTAGTATTATTTACTAAAAAATAGTTAAAATTCACGTATTCTTTTTTTTTTTTGCAGAATTCTTTCATCGTAAATTTTGATCAATTGAAAAAGTTAATTTAATTTCCCGGTGACAGGCATATACTTTTCTCAAAATTGTGATATAAACCTTTTTAGATGAATAACACTTTTTTACAATTAATTTATGAAACTGCTATGGTTATAGTCTTAAAGGCACACTATAGTCACCAAAACAATCACTTTGTTTATACAGCCCTAGTCACACCTCCCTGCATGTGACTAAACAACCTTCCTAAACACTTCCTGTAAAGAGTTATCTAATGTTTAGATTTCCTTTATTGCAAATTATGTTTTTATTTATCCTGCTCTTTTAATTAGATGATTCTTTACAGGAAGTGTTGAGTCACATTCAGGTATGGCTAAGGCTGCATGGAGGTGTGGCTAAGGCTGCATGGAGGTGTGGCTAAGGCTGCATAAGCAAACTGATTTACCTCCTAAATAGCAGATAATTGAGCAGTGAGGCTGCATGGGCATGATCTATACAACAAAACTGCTTCATTACGTTAAAATTGGTTTGGTGACTATAGCGTCCCTTTAAGGTCAAAATAGCCAAACTGGAAACATTTCTCTAAGATGGCTTTGCTTTCAGTTCAGCTACTCTGGCTTTAAATTTGAAACTTTAATTTCTCTATTTAGTAAATAAACCTGTAAGTTTTCTGACAGAAATGCACTTCTGTGAAAATCTGTGGCATAAAGGTTTTTTTAAAAAAAAAAAAATCAGGACATACTTTTCATTAGCTGAATTAGCTTTCTAAAAACTACAGTGGGGAAAAAAATGATGTTTTTTCCCC